GGGAAATCCCGGGAAACGACTCTCGCTGAGGCGCCGGCGTCATTTTTTCCCAAAATGCTGCTCTCGTTGAGGCGCCGGCCTCATTTCTGCTCCCGAATCGTTCCGAATCGTGCTCCCGCTGCAGCGTGGGCCTCATTTTCGGATCGGTGTTTGGCCTCCGTCGTTCAGGATGGCGTTCTCGCCCCAGCGCGGGCCTCTTTCTCGCGCGCCCATCCGCCCGCCACCACCGCGCCGCACCGCCACCACCACCACCACCACCACCACCACAACCACCACCACCAGCACCAGCACCAGTACCAACCACCACCACCACCAGCACCACCACCACCACCACCACCCACCAGCACCACCACCACCAGACCACCACCACCACCACCACCACCACCACCACCCACCACACCACCACCACCACCACCACCACCACACCACCACCACCACCACCACCACCCCACCACCACGCACACACACGCACGCACACGCACGTGCACCACCACCCACTACGCACGCGCGCGCGGAGCCACAGGTCCGCTACGACACGCGTCCGCGGATAGAGAAAATCAGCGCCATGGTAAGGGATGGGAGGGAGGGGTAGGACGTCAGATATGACGCGAGCGCACCTAGCTTGCCCCTCTCCCCTCTCCCTCTCCCCTCTCCGCTTACCCCCTCTTCTGCGCGTGGCCGATACCGGCTGTCCTTCTCCGTCGTGCTCACGCCGCCAGCCAGGTTCCGGATCCAGTTCTCCGCGCGGCCGCGGCGCCCCGAGGCCGGGCTCGGCCTCCGGCCGCTTCCGCCCGGGGAGTTGCTCCTCTCGGAGCCCTCGGCTGGGTCCCTGGGCAGCGCCTGAGAGGTAGAGGAGCCTGCACCAACATAAACTGTCCGAGGTCCGCGCGGGTGTCTGGAATCCGCGCGCTGGCGCATCGAGCGCACCAGGAGGAGGAGGAGGAGGAGGAGGAGGAGGAGGAGGAGGAGGAGAAAGAGGGTTGCCGCTCGAGCCGCTCACCGGGGAAAGCCGCTCGAGCGGCGACACTCTCTGGTCCTCCTCCCTCCTCCTCCTCCTCCTCCTCCTCCTCCTCCTCCTCCTCCGCCTCCTCCTCCGCCTCCTCCTCCTCCTCCTCCTCCTCCTCCTCCTCCTCCTCCTCCTCCACCTCCTCCTCCTCCTCCTCCTGTGCCGTGGCACGCTCCGCGCGTCAGGGAGGGGGGTCTGGCACCGACCCCAAAGATCCACGCGGACGTCGCAAAGTTTCTGCTTCTGCTGTTTCATCTTCCTCGAGCGCCCCCTGCCGCCACTCGCGCTCCCAGAGCTCCGCAAACAGCTTCAGCAGCGCAGGCGCAGGGTCCTCTCGAAAACGGCAGCTGACCACCCCACCGACCCTGGCCAGGCACATCCTGGGCCGAGGAGGGGCCCACGAGGGCCCCTGGGATCCGGTGCAGGTGGCCGCCTGACGCCGCCCGATCCTTCGCGCCGCTCAGCAGGTCTGCCAGGTGCTGCTTCTCCACGAGCGCCAGCTGCACGCCGCGCTGGAACGCCCAGGCCTGGTCCTCGTGGCTCACCTCGAAGGGCGCCGCGGGCTCGGGCACCTCCTCGGGGGGCGGCCGCCTCTCCAGCTGGAAGCGCTGCCGCGTGCCCTGCGCCTGGGCGCCGGCGCTGGCGCGCACGGCGTTGCCGCCGACCTCCAGCATGCGGCCCGACGGCATGGCGCGCAGGCACACCTGCGACCCCGACTCCAGCGGCGCGCGCCTGCCGCCCTCGCCGGCGACCACGGAGACCTGGAAGGCCTGGTCCTGCGCGCTGCCCGCCGGCTGGGCCGACGCCAGCCCGCTCGCGCCGTCCACCGTCAGCAGGAGCGCCGACTCGGAGGACGCCCGCTGCGCGGGCATGCTCTTGCTCCACGCCTCGGACTCCACCACCCTGAAGCTGGAGATCGCGGTGAAATCGCTCGCGAGGCGGACGCGGAGCTCGCAGTACGGGCTGCCGTCCTTGTCGAGCCTGCCCTGCACGCCGTCCTCCTCCTCCACGAGCGTGCCAGTCACGGTGCCACCCTCGTGCAGGCGCTCCTCGAAGCTGTACCGCCCAGGCTCGCCAGGAACAGCTTCGATCGTGTACTTCCCGCTGGCTCCGTAGACCCACTCGCCAGGGAGGCCGCGCTCCTTCTCGCCCCCGTCGATGGTGTCGGCGGCCGTGAGCGTGTACTGGTGCCCGCTCTTCAGCACGCCAGGGGTCTTCTGCTGCTTCTTCGGCGCCAAGACCCACTGCTCCTGCGACTCGGGCACGGGCTCCTTGCAGTCCACCGCCCCGCCCGGGCGGGCGGTCAGGTACCGGTTGGTGTGCGCGCGCAGGCACGCCTCCGCGCCCGGCAGGAGCGGCCCGCCGAGGCCCACCGTGGACACGAGCTCGGGCTTCTTCCTCGCCCTGCCCAGCATGGCCAGGATGGCAAACAGCGTCCTCTGAGCTTTTTCTTTGGGTGGAGGGCTCAGGGTGAAATCCACATGGGCTCTTGCACCTCGAAGATCCATCCGTCTTCTGGTTCACCTTTTGCAGACTCGAGCATCGAACATCCATCGAAACGGCATTTCAGATTTCACCCTTTGCCCTCCACCCCCCAAAAAAGCTCGGTCCTCCGGTCCGCCATCTTCCAGCTTGCCAGGGGCACCGCCTTCAGTCTGCCGATCCACGCCCGCAGCTCCTCCTCGCCCTCGGGCACGCCCGCGCCGGCCGAGGCCTCGGAGCCCGCGGCCACGCCGTCCTCGAGCGGCGAGGACGGCGCCTCCGGCAGCGGCACCCGGGGCGGCGGCAGGGCGCCTGGGTGGGGCGGGCAGTGGGGCAGAGGAGAAACGGGCCCTGGCCTGCGAGGCGGGGACTTGTCCATGTCCGCCGCCTGGGAACCGACACCCTGGGTGAACCAAGCGGGCGGTGGAGGCGGCCATATTTGGGCCCCCGGGGGCCAAAAGAACTATCCAGCTCCACCGCCCGCCGAGGGCCCCAGAAATCGATCCTCCGGGCGGTGGTCAGGAATAGATCCCCCCGCCTCGAGATGGACCCACGGGGGGGGGGCGGGGGGCTTTCCCCAGGGCCAGCTCTGCATCGTGCGGTCTCTGACCGCCATTGGGACCCGAAAAGCTAAGTCGGGCCTGTCCCCCTACAGGGGGATTTTCGACGAAAGTCAAAAATACCCCAACAATGATCCAAAAATTGTCCAAAAATAGTCCAGGGACTATTTTTTGACTATTTGTTCCACCTTTTTGGGGGTATGTTTGGGGTACCTTTTTTGAATCTTTCGTCGAAGATCCCCCTGTAGGGGGGGGGGACACGCCCGACATAACCGAAGAGGGCAGAAGTAGGGAGGCACCAACTATACACCAACACCGATCCTGGCCAGGATCCACCTGGGCCCAGGATCGGTGTATATGCCCTCCTGCCATGGGCAGAATGCATATACACCGATCCTGGGCCTAGGATCGGCCTGGGCTGGATCGGTGTAGGTGTATAGTTGGTGCCCTCCGAAGAAGCCCTGCGGGACTCCTCCCCCTCAGAGCCGCCCTCTGGAGGCCGTGGCGCCGGGCGGCCTGTCGCGTGGGCGGCCGCTGCCCGGCCGGCGTCCGGCAGCGGCTCCCGGGTGAACTGCTGCGGGTCGGGCTGCGAGGGGCCCTGCTCGGGGATGGGCAGGACGCCCTTTTCTGGAGGGGCCCTGGGACACACAAAGAGATACACGCAAGTAACAGGATCCCCCAGATGTTCCCATAGTTTCTGGGTTTTTGTCTCCCCCCCCCACTTCCCCTATTTTCCCACATGTTCTGGGGATTCGACGATTATTTGTGTCTGTGTGTTCTTGTCCCTCCTGACTTTAGTAGATAGAACATGGTTTGGTGAAAACGACCTCGGGCCCAAACCTGGCGGGCGCAGGCCTGGAAAATGACGACCGCGGCGCCCTCTCGAGAACCGAAAACGGACATTCACTAATCGACGTGTCAGGGTGGGGTCAAGTCGGGTCTGTCCCCCTACAGAGGGCTTTTCGACGAAACATAAAAATACCCCAAAAATAATCAAGAAGTTGTCCAAAAATAGTCTGGGGACTATATTGGCTTATCTTTGGGGGGTATTTTTGGCGTCTTTTTTTTGCATTTTTCGCCGAAAATCCCCCTGTAGGGGGACAGGCCCGACAGAAGGGTGGGGGCTCTGTCCACCCCCCGCCTGCGCCGGCGGCGCTTCCTGGGGAGCCGTGGCCGGCTCCCGGCGCTCGGCGCGCGGCGCTCTGCGAGCGGGCGCGCGGGCGCCCTGCGGCGCCGGGGGGCCCTGGCCCGGGCGCGGGGCGCCCGGGCCCGCCGCCGCGTCCGCGCGGGGCCACGCCGGGAGCCCCCAGGCGTCCAGGAGCTGCACGTCGCCGCCCCCGACCACCTCCGGGAGGCGCCAGGTGCCCTCCGCGCCGGCCATCGCCGGCGTGGGCACGCCCGCGGCGCCGCCGCCCTCCTCCGCGCCGCGCGAGAGCGCCAGGGAGCCGCCGGGGTCCACGCGCGCCGCGACGGCGGCCGAGGGGGCGGAGCCCCAGGAGTCCCCGGGCCCTGCCGCGTAGCTGCTCTGCCAGCTCAGGGCCGCCGAGCCGTCGCCCACCCGCAGCGCCGCCGCCCGCACCCCGACGAAGCGGCACTGGTCGAGCACCAGCGGCCCCTCGGCGCCCTGCGGGCTGCCCTCGCCGCCGCAGAGCCACACGTCCCCGCTGGCGTTGTCCTCGAACAGCGTGCGGCCGAGAACGGCGCCTCCTCTGCCGGCCACCACGCCGAAGTGCCGGTTGCCCTTCACGTCGCACTCCTCGAGGACGAGCCGGGCCCCGTCCTCGACGTAGGCGCCGCCCTGCTGGTTCCCAGAGAGCTCGCACCGGACCAGGACGGCGGAGGCCCCCTGGTCCAGCGACAGCCCGGCGCCGACGGCGCCGCACAGGGAGCAGCCTGCCAGCAGCGGCCGCGACGAGAGGCCGCTGACGCGCACGGCGTGGGCGAAGCCTCCCGCCCCGGAGCCGCCAGCGGGGCCCACCTGCATGTGGCACTCGAGGAAGGCGGGCGACCCGGCCTCGACCACCACGCAGCCTGCCGCCCCGGCCTCGCCTCTGGGCCCTGGGCCAGCGCGCAGGGCGAGCCTGTACAGCGCGGCCATCTCGGCCCCGGGCGCTATTCTCAGGACGGCCTCCGCCTCCCTCGAGCAGGAGAGCTCTGGGCCGCCCACGGCGCCCGCGCTGGGGCCCTCCGAGGAGCCCACGAGGATGACTGGCCTGTCCAGGACCAGGCACTCCTGAAGCTCCACCTGTCCGATCACCTCCACAAGCGCCGAGCGGTCCCGCGGCGCTGCTCGCACGGCGGCGACGAGCTCCTCGCCCGTGCGCACAGACTGGCGCGGCCAAGTGGCCTCCAGCGCGGCACCGGGCCCGTTGCTCTTGAGCAGGTTGCCCTGCAAGAAGCAGCCCGCTTGCCCCGCAAGCACGTTCCCCGGGCTCTGCCGCATGCCAGGGCCCTCGTTGCCCACCACGCGGTTGTAGGCCAGCACGGCCAGCGCCGCGCGGTCCGACTCCAGGAGGGCTCCAGTGCCGTTCTTCATCAGCGTGTTGTCGAGAGCTCGACCGCCGGCGGCCCGCCGCATGACCACGCCAGCGCCTCTGTTGTCGAGCGCCGTGTTCCTCCATATCACAGGAGCGGTACCGTCTGCAACCCAGAAGCCGGCACCGCATTGCGTCACCTCGTTGCAGACGAAGAGGCCGCAGCCCCCCTCCTCGATGGCCACGCCAGCGCCACCGTGGCCACACACCCTGCAGCCCCGCACAACAGGCCAAGAGCCGATGCCCTTCACCAGAAGCCCAGCGCGGGCGCCGCGAGTGGGGGCCTCCCCGCGACCTACCAGCTCGCAGTCCTCGATGAGGGGGCTCGCCGAGCTCACGGCGACGGCGTGCCCCTCGGGGTCGGCGCGGATGCGCAGCCTCCTCAGCACACACAGCGAGCGGGCGCCCGTGACCTCCAGGCCCAGCGGCCCGAGGTCCGCCAGCGTGGGCAGCGCCCCGTCGCCGCCACCCTCGAGCACCACTCCCCCAGCCAGCCGCAGGGGCCCGCTATGGGTGCCGGCGGCCAGCCGCACGACCACCGACGGGACGCCGCCCGGAGCGGAGGCCGCGGGCAGGCCTTCCAGCGCCGCGGACAGGGTCGGGAAGCGCTGGGACGGCACCTCGCGGAGCTCCACGGGCGCCCTGTGCCGGGGCTCCCCGCGCGGGCTGCCGGTGCGCAGCAGGGCGGCCATGCGTCATGCAGCTGCGCGCCGGGCGGGGGGCTGGCAGCGGCGCGCTCCGCAAAGCTTTTGAGCCAGCGGCTGCGGGGCCCACGCGCCTCGCAGCGGCAGGAACGGGTCTCGCGCTGCCCTGGTCCGTGCAACCCGACCGTGCCCCCCTCTGGTCTCCCTCGCCTGGTCCGCTCCTTGGTCTCTCCACTGCCGCCGTTGCCGAGCACTGCCCCCAGGGCGGGCTTCCCCAAGCCATCCGACCGACCGCGCCCCCCGTAGCTTCCCTCGTCTGGCCCCTCCCTGGCCCGTCTCTTGCTTGGCCTGGCACCTCCCCCCCACCTCCCCTAAACAAGAGGTCCCCTGCCCCAGGGGCTTTATGTTTAATGACGCACGTCACCCACTCATTCATCGGGCATGCCCTAGGTGTGTTTGATTACCCGTTTATGGATCTGGGGACCAGTGCCTCCAAGAATATGTCGACTTACGCAGCTGCGGTGGGGCTGTCATGGCATACCTGGAACCAGATTCGCGCTTGGGATGCCCACTCAGTGCAATCAACCGTCCTCTCAAGACAGCAGCTCTGGAGCTCCAACGCCTCGGATCAACACTTCGACTGCAGATCAAGAACACTCTGGCTACTGATCGTGATCGCCACTGCTCTTTACTCGTGCGCGCACCTGCGCGCCAGCGAGCAGAATTTTGGAGTCCCGAAACGGTGCGGTGACGGACCGTGCGGTGACCTCGAAATCCCCCCAGACCTCACCGCACGGTCCGTCACCGCACGGTCTTGGGACCCCGGAGGCCCCTGTCGCCCGAGACGTCCTCGGAGAACGACCCGAGTCCCAAGACCGTACGGTGACCCCGAATCCCCACCGATTCACCGCACCGCCGGGGGCCCCCGAACGATGCTCGCTTCGCACCAGCAGATCACCTCCCGAAGCTGCGCTCCCCGCCGGGCGCGGTGCACGGTTCCGGGCGCCGTGTCGTCGGAGGCGGGGCCGCGTGCGCTCGCGAGCGCCCGCCTGCTCGGCGGGCCCGGCATCCTGCCTGTGGCGGCAGTGGCTCTGAGGCTGTCACGACAGCGGGGAAGGGAAGGGGAAGCGGGGAGTCCCGAGGCAGTGACTCTGAGGCTGTCACGATCCCGACAGCGGGGGAGGGGGGAAGGGACGAGGCCCGCGGAGTCGCTGGGGCTGGCTGACCTGGCTCCTGATCCTACCGCTGGGCCTCGTCCTGGGCGGTCGTAAGCAACACCACTGATGGTCGTGAGCTCGCTCGCTATCAACTACCATCACTCCGCTGGATGATCTCACTCGGACTCCCGCGTTCGCCGAGTGTATCGATGTGCTGTATGATGATCAAGTGCACGTGGCTCCACGAAAACTGTCACTACCACTGTGACTGGCAATATCCGCTGGCACTCTTGGGGGCGTAAGTCTGTGAAGATTGCACCGGACTGCCATGTTGTGCTATATGTACTGATTTCTGCCAATTGACTCTCCAGTCCTGTCTCTTTTGTTGTCTACTATAGGGGGGCGCGGCGTCCGAAGAAAAACATAGAGAAGGAGCCCCACTGCACCCTGGCCGCTCGAGGTTGCCTCAGGATTCCCACAGGGACGCCTCCAGGACGGCCCCTGAAGGCCCCGAACAGGGCATCAATATTGTAAAACAGCGAATACGGCCCCAAGATACCTTCCAGGAAGCGTCCGGGAGACGCAATAAGCACAAGAAACGCCCCAAGACTGCCCCAAGATAGACCCCAGACGCCCCCAAGACGGCCTCATGATGCTCCTGGAGCCCCCTGCATCCGACAAGGCTGGTTGGAATGCGCGACGCTGCGCGCAACTCCGCCAAACCACAAGGGAGCGGCATGTAATGCCGCGCCCGCGTTCTCGATCCGCCGCTCCCTGGGGTCCATCCACAGGGGTGCTTCGCATGCTAACTTTTCAGGCTCATGTTTCTCTGCCCGTCCAAAGGGTCTCGCCCCCTGCCGCCACCTTCCCCCACCAAAGAGCGCTAGGTCGACCGCAAAGCGCGCAAATCCCGCCTCCGGGATGGTACAAGATAACCTCCGAGACAGCCTAAGACGGCCCAACGGGCTCAGACACCCCAAGACCAACCCGCGACGGTCACAAGGGCCCCAAGAAATCCCCGAGACAGCTCTAAGATGGCACAAGAGGGCCTCGAGTCAGCCCAGCAGAGACCCAAGATGGCTCTCAAGGGCCCCATGAGGGATCCAAAACGACCCAGAGATGCCCCAAAGACAGCCTCGGAGGGCGCCAGATGGCCCAAGAGCGCCCTAAGACGACCCAAGAGGGCCCCAAGATGGTCCAAGATGGGCCCCCAAAGGCCAAAGACGGCCCGAAAAGAGCAGCTGCAAGACGACCCCATTCACATCGACGATCGGCCACCAATACCTCGCGTTATCCAAATTGTGCTGCGGACACAGGTGGGGGAGCATTGCTGTGGAATGCTCCTGTAATGTTCCTATGACAAAACATGAAATTCTATATCATGTCTCGCCTAGACCTTCTGCCAACACTGCTGAAATCTCTGACCACAGTAGACATGCCGATAACTACGGCGAGTCGGTGAATCGCCGTAGGCGTCTTCGATAACCAAATCGCTCATACGGCACAGTGCATGTTCCGCAGAGCCCATCTCGGCCGAAGCCCGTCTGCGCCGACCTGGCTCCGCCAAAGCTGGGCGCCGCCAGCTCCGCCGAGGCCCGCTTCCGCCAGGCCCTCGGACGGAGCTAGGACGAGGATGCATTCGTTCCAGGGCCTGTTCTGGAACGCTCTGGGAAGACCGCGACGCCCCATACCTCCTCCTCCGGAGCCGCCTGATCTGAGAGATTCTCGCGTTATCCCCACCCGAAAGTACCCTCGTCCCCCCGCGGGGGATCTACGAGAGATTACGTCGAAGCAGACAGGTGCTCTTCGGACGCTTGCGAGTAGGCACTTTGCGAGTAGTGGAACGCCCTGGCTTCGTCTTAGGCCCAGCGCCCCCGCAGTCCGCTGCCTCCAGGGTTATGTCGGACGTGTCCCCCTACAAGGGGATTTTCGACGAAAAATTAAAAATACTTCAAACATATCCCAAAAATGCCAAAAAATACTCACAAAATAGCCCCCAGACTAATTTTGGATTATTTTGTTGACTAGTTTTGCTGTATTTTATATTTTTCGTCGAAAATCCCCCTGTGGGAGGACAGGCCCGACCTAACGCCAGGGCCCGGTTCCGCCGCTGGGGCTGCCAGCGGAGGTAGTGCCGGGCGGCGGAGGGCCCGGGCGGGGGCAGGGGCGGCGGTGGGCAGGGCCGCGGCGGCAAGGGGCCCAAGAGCCTCTGCTGGGTAAGGGGAGGAGGAGGGAGGAGGGAGGAGGGAGGAGGGAGGAGGGAGGAGGAAGGAGGGAGCAGGGAGGAGGGAGGAGGGCGAAGGAGTGAGGCGGGGAGGAGGAGGAGGAGGAGGAGGAGGAGTAGGATGAGGAAGATGAGGATTAGTAGGAGGAGGAGCAGATGAGGAGCGGGAGGAGGAGGAGGAGGAGGAGGAGGACGACGATGAGAGAGGACGGAGAAGAGGAGGGGAAGAGCAAGGAGGGAGGAGGAGGAGGGGAGGAGGATGGAAGAGTGATGAGGAGGATGAGGAGGAGGAAGGAGGGGAGGATGAGGAGGGAGGGATGGATGAGGATGAGGTGAGGAGGAGGAGGAGGAGGATGGATAGGAGGAGGAGAGAGGGAGGGAGGGAGGGAGGGAGGGGGAGGGAGGGAGGAGGAGGAGGAGGAGAGGGGAGGGGAGGAGGGGATAGGAGGAGGGGAGGGGAGGAGAGGAGGGGAGGAGGAAGGAGAGGAGGAGTAGGAGGAGGAGGAGGAGGAGGAGAGGGGGATGTAGGAGAGGGAGGAGGGAGGAGGGCGGAGGAGGGAGGAGGTAGGATGAGCAAAGAGGAGAAGGAGAAGGGTAGGAGGAGGGGAGGAGGAGGGGAGGAGGAGGAGGAGGAGGAGGAGAGGAGGAGAGGGAGAGGGAAGGGAGAGGGAGAGGGGAGGGAGAGGAGAGGGGAGGGAGGGAGAGGGAGAGGGAGAGGGAGAGGGGAGGGAGATGGGGAGGGAGAGGGAGGGGGAGGGGGAGGAAGAGGGAGGGAGGAGGGGAGGAGGAGAGAGAGGAGGATGACGAGAGAGGAGAGGAGGAGAGAAGAGGGGGAGGAGGAGGACTGGGAGGAGGAAGAGGAGGAGGAGGAGGAGGAGGAGGAGGAGGAGGGAGGAGGAGCAGGAGGAGGAGGAGGAGGAGGGAACGCTACAGGCAGTGCTGCTGATGTTTGCCCAACGTCAAGGAGGAGGAGGAGGACCTCGAGGAGGAGGAGGAGGAGGAGGAGGAGGAGGAGGAGGAGCGCACTGGACCAGAGAAGAGACGAGGCAGGCGGCCAAGAGCAAGAGTTGAGAAGAGGTAAAGAGCTTCGAGTCCCCCGCGCGCGGGCGGCGGAGGAGGAGGAGGAGGACGAGCAGCAGCGACAGCAGCAGCAGCAGAGGGAGGGCTCGAACGGTAGTTGTCGAATGATAGTTCGGGGAGGGAGAAGAGGGAGGGAGACGAGCAGGGAGAGGGGAAGGAACAGGGGGAGATGAGGACAGATGAGTACGTAAGAGTAGAAGTACGAAGACGAGAAATGATCGGTCGAAACATGCGGGAAGTAGGCAATGCATGAGAAAAAAAGCAAGACTTGGAGAAAGAACACCAGTAACAGAAGATGGCGGATAAAGGTGAGGGCCAGGAGTCGATGTGAGCAAGAGTCAGCTGGCGGGGGGATCGAACCTGCTCATCCTCTTCCACCTCCTGCTGCTAACTACTTGATCACCTCCCCGCACCCCCCCCCCCCACCATCCTCCTCGCCCTCCTTATCCTCTTCATGCTTCTGCACCTTCTCCTCCTCCCGCTCATCAGAATCCCCATCCTCATCGTCACAATCACAACCATCTTCACCATCATCACCAGCATACACTTGTCACACTCACCATGCTGAGAGAGGAAAGGCAAGAGAGAAAGAGAGAGAAAGAAAGAAACATATATATATATAGAGAGAGAGAGAGCAAACAAAAGAGAGAGAGAGAGAGGAGAGAGGTCAGCGGAGCGGGAGGGAGGGGAGGAAGAAAGGAATAATTGAAGCATGCACGGTTTCCCGTCCGCGCGGTCGGGCACGCGGCGTCATGAGCGCAGCGTGGCCAAGAAACACACCAGGTCCATCCTATCCTCTGGACGGTCCATGCCCTTAAAAGTCATGCATGACCTGTCTCCGTACCTCATCTTGATCGTCATCACGGGATTCTCTAGCCAGCTCAGCATCGTGGCGTGGGTCCACACGATGCCCGTGCTCTCCAGCCTGTCGAAGCTGCCCCCCCACAGCCTCACCCGCGAGCCCGCCGGAGAGTCCACGACGTCGAAGAGGTTCGGCCCCCTGGTGCTGCCCCTCCCAACTGGCTTCGCCGTGTGGCACTGCGAGCAGAACTTCTTGAAGATTGCCCTGCCCCTGGGTATCCGCGAGCCCATGTGGAGGACCCAGCTGCGAGGTCGTTCCTTGACCGCTAGATTGCTGGAGCCTCTTGGTCTTCTTTCCCTGGCCCTTCCTCCTGTGTCCTTTCATCCTGTCTCGCGTCTCTCTAATCTGGGGAATCCACGGCATAATGCAAAAAACAACCAGTTGACGCCCTAGCTGCCCTATCACTAGCCGCCCTACCACTAGCCGCCCTGGTTGCCCCATGACTCCCATGCGGGCGCAGCCAGACGATCAAGAGGGTCCAAGAGGTTCCCCAGGAGGGACCACGAGAGGCTAGAAGATGCCCACAGGAGAGCCCCACGAGCCCAACACAGCTTACAGGCCCGAAGATGCCCCCGAGACAAAAAAACCTGAAGGTGCCACAGGGAGACCTGTCCCCCAAGGCAACCAGACAACCCCTGGATGGCCGCAGTATGCCTGCACACGAGGGCACCCAAGATGGCCGCCAGAGGCTTCGTGCCCCCCAAATTACTCAAGAGGGCCCCAAGAAGGCTCAGAGTGGCCCCACGATGGCCCCACGACGCCCCGGAAGCCCTGAGTGCCGAGACGACTGAGCCTGGGGGCCCTGCGGCAAGGCGCGCAGCCCTTCGAATGTCGCCCGCCTGGGCGCAGCCGTCCACTCCATCCGCCGACTCTGCGCGCTCTGGCGAAGCCTCCGCGGGGGCAGCCGCAGCCGCCGCCAGCGCGGGCGATGGTGGCACCACCGAGGCGGCCAGTGCGGGCGGCGGCGCCTGCCCGGCAGCGGGCGCTGGAGGCGACGCGGGGGCAGAGGGCGCCGGAGGCGGCGCCGCCGCCGCCGCAGCCGCGCTGGCTGCCGGAGCTGGCGGCGACCGCAGTGATGGCTGCGGCGGCGGCACGGGCGGCACCGCTGCCGCGGAACCAGCGGCCGCAGCGGCCGGCGCGGACGCGACGGCCGGCGCAGGGGCTGCCGCGACGGGCGCGGCGGGCGCGGCCGCCTCGCCCAAGGCGGGGGGGGGCGCTGGGGCCTGCGCGGCGCCCATGGCGGGGCCCAGAGGGGCACCGGATCGGCTGGCTGGAGGGGCCCGAAGAGGCCCAAAGGGGCACCCTATAGCCGTGGCGACAGTGGTAGAGCAAGGTGCACGGGAACGGGAGGACCGACGACGAGGACGACGACGACGACGACGACGACGACGACGACGACGACGACGACGAGGACGACGGCGAGGACGACGGCGAGGACGACGACGACGACGACGACGACGACGACGACGACGACGACGACGACGACGACGACGACGACGACGACGACGACGACGACGGCGGCGGCGGCGGCGACGACGACGACGACGACGACGACGACCATGACGACGACGAGCAGAAGAGGGAGGCGGGGGCGGGAGGGCGCTCCTCGACAGCGGGCCGCCCCCCGCCGGTGCGCACGGGCTCGAGCAGGCCCCCTGCCAGAGAGTAGCCCCACAGGAGGCCACAGGAGGCCTCCCTTCAAAAGGTCCCCCCCTGCCAGAGAGTAGCCCCACAGGAGACCAGAAGAGGCCTCCCTTCAAAGGTCCCCGAAAGACGAAAGACATCCCGAGAGGCATCCATCGGTATGACCCCACTGGTACCTCCCAGAGAAATGTCTGGCCCCCAACACAGGCGCGAGCTTGGCCGAAGGCCACTGTCCGCCACCTGCACGGTGTGCTGAATTTCGGCGCTGAACGGCGGGTCAGCACCCAGCACGAGCGTCTTTGCGAGGCCCAGCAAAAAGTTGCCAAGGACCTCTCGCCGCGGAACGCGGGGGGGCCGCGCGGGTCGACATTTAGGGCTGGGATCGATTCGAAGGCCCTCTGGGGAGCCAACATTCAGGGACCCCCAATGGCAAGCTGAAGCCGCATCGCCAGGCTGCGCCCCGGGCGGGGGGGAGGCCCCGAAAGGACGCGCCCTCGAGCTGGCCCCCATGCGTGCTCGAGGAGGCTGGATCAGAGATCCGCTGGTCACCATTACGGCTGACGCCCTCCGCGCGCACAGCCAGATTCTGAATGTTCAACGCCTAGCGCCTGTGGTGCTGCAGTCGCTGTTTGACCGTGGCCAGGAGGCACTCACTGCTGCTGCCTCGGCCTCGGGCACGCGCGCGAGACCCAACCAATTGCAGCCCCCCTCCTCACTCGCGTGCGACTTGGGCTCGTTTCTGACGACCCGTGGACCTTACGCGAAGCCACGGAGAAGGTCTGGGACCTTCGCCAGGCGCCCCCAGCGACGGCGGCTAGGCGAGCAAAGATCGCGGCCAGGTGTCTCTCTCTCCGCGGGGGCTTGGCCGAGATAGACCAAGGCAAAGGATGGACTGGCGACATGTTTGGCGACCCCTCCATGAGCTTCTACACCGCAGGTGGAAGGCCGCGCTCGAGGAGGAAGGCGGGGTCAGACGGGCGGCGGGGGATCCGGGGGCAAAGAGTCCTCCGCGGCCTGGTCATTGGCTCGCATTGGTGCCAAGCAAGGCTGCACAAGCATGGCACTCGGTTGCCAGCGCAGTGCCTCATTTGCGGGGAAGCTAGAGGCAGCCCGTTCCATCGTCACTTTGAGCGCCCAGCCCGCCAAGCGCGAGGAGGGCGTTCCCCCCGCGGGACCTTGCACCCTCGG